CGCGCATCGAACGTCTGCCGCAAAAATCGAACGATTTGATTTTGAACTAGAATTTCTTTATTTCGTAGCTTACATTGACCGGCCGATCTTCGACAGAGGAATATTGCTTCCGAATACCCTCACTTAATCGAAATTGCCTATCATCAAATGTGGACAGCACATTATTAAGCATGGAAATGTCCCCGAAATACTTTCGCGTTTGTCGAATCCCACGCGATGTTTGACGCGACTACGACGCTATGACCTTTGTTTGTCCTGTTTTTACGTTCGATTTCACGCATAACGCATGATTCTCGCAGTGAACGGAGAATGGTCTATTGTTGCACCACCCATGCCAGTCACGTGTAGCATTCCATAAGTAGAGATTGACATGAACATTTCTTTGGAATCACTTACCTGTACCAAATACTTTAACTTCACACAATGTAAGAATTTCATTAGATCCCTTTTTGTCAATTGTAATATACTGACCAATCTTCCCAGAAGGGCAAGTAATAGTCACCACTGCATCTGATGTTGCAGTACCACATGTTGTGAACTGACCATTCTCGTAAGGGCTAATACTGACATCTGCACCATCAAGACGATCTTTTGAAATAATGCAATAATGTATAAAACCTGTTATTGGCTGGTAGTTGTATATAGACATGTCAACTCTTTGAGAGAGAGTGAGCCACAAGTGAATGAAACTTTATTAGAGGGGCAAACACCAGTTTTAAGGCTTTCTCACTGTCAATGATATCTCGGCTGGCATTTTCATCTCAAGTCCATTAACTTGTAAAATTGGAAACTGTTGCTGATAAAGAAAAACAAAACACACACACACACCGAAGGTACCATGATGTATGACATTTAAGCTAATGCTATAAGTTAAATTGACATGGAATACCAAATAATTTGTATTATCCAGGAACCGAACATATACATGTAACTACAATGTAAGTGATATCTAGAGTAGTGCCATGGCCATGTTCATTTGACAATTTAATAAATAGTGTGATACCTGCGTATTCTGCCCCATTGTAGATAACAACAGTTACTTCATCGTACACATCACCAAGATTTATTTGCCACCACGGATTATCCTGTTGGGCAGTGTGTGTACAGCTGCCACCACTGTAGCGACTGTCAATGTTGCCATCTACTGCTAATGATGACATACCACCATAATCTGTACTACTCTGTGAAGTACTCCGGTTATAGGCAATATTTACTGATTCTAGAACAAATATTGAGTATATAGAGCATAAGATGCAACCAAACTATGAAAAATGTTATGTCATAATTTGAATCACTCTTTAAAAGGTCCTTGAACAAAACATTGGTTCACTGTGGAGAGCACTAAAATTATTATATATACTTGGTCGACGGAATTATTCATTTCTACCAAGAAAAAAGAGAGTAAACAAATGTACATTTGGCAGGAGTAGGAATTTTTTGAAATTCAAATTCATCACTACCTCTGCAGACAGGAAGGTCAGCATTCCAGTTACCATCCACACACATCAATACTGAACTACCAACTAACGATCCAGTATCACATTCATACGTCAATGTAACACCATTTTCTACAGGAAAAGGCAGGAAATCGTTTTCCCAGACAAGAGGCAGGGATGCATCTGGATCTTCGCAGCTTTGTCCTGAGGAAAAAATGATTTCAATGAATTAACTCTTGGAATATAGTTGTAGGCTTATATAAAATGTTTTTCTTCATTGTTCCTTTTACGATCTATAACATAAATACAATGAAGCATTTGAACTACAAAAAATAACATATGTTTCGCCTATAAATAAAATATAGTGCAAGGAAAGTCAAACCTGAAGGTATACACTGGGGTAGAGGCAGTGTGATATCCCACATATAGCCCAACCATCCAGGTGCGTCAACGCATTCTAAATACTGGTTGCCAGACACACTGTAACCAGGGATGCAGTCAAACTCAAGGACTGTGCCAAGACTTGCAGGGAATTCCACAGCTGTTAATAATACTCCATTTTCGAAAATCCCAGGATCTTCACAAGTCGGCCAATTCCCTAAAAATGAGAATATGTTTATATTAGTCGGCATCTAAAGTATTAATATTGTTCAGCAACTGATATCTTCCAAAAAAAAGTTCATTCTTATGGCATCAAATTCATTAATATTTTCATTTAGAAAGACACTTATTATGACTCTGACAGGTTAGAATTTGCGGTGTTACAGGACAATTTAAGTTTCCTGATTATGGGCGTTTTTGAATTTTCTTTCTGACTAAAGTGAAGCAGATTTACTGCAGTAGCAATAGCCCCATCATATAGATCTCAATATTATACAATTCACTCTATACAGATTTGTCAATTGTGCATTATAACGTAGTATATCTGCCTTTGGCAGGGAGGGGGTAATGCTTAACTTAATATAACTGTCCATGATTACAATTTACCTCTTTCACATATGTAACCTCTTCGACGATCACATGGAGTGTTTATCAAATTATATATGGCAACATCTCTACCTTGCTCGCTAAAAATACCACAATTTGCGAGTTCACCATCATTTGGCTCAGTTTTATCTTCCCTCCATGGTGTTTCATTTACTGGAAAACCCCAGACATGACCAGATTCCCATCGCCATGTTCCTTCAGATGTGTCATCAGTCGCCGATGTCCAGTACTGCTCGGTATAATTCTCGTTATTATACTGATTTACTAAATTTCCAAGAAATGTCTGCTCGTCTTCTGTTGTTATAACAACTGGGTAAGCACCTCGTTCAGCACAAGCTGCCAACACTTCTTCAAAGTCTTTTCTTGCATCATCGTCATAATAGTCCGATACAAAGTAGCATGAATCATTAAAAAAGGTTTCGTCGGCTAGGCAAACTAGATTTAATCAAAACAGTTAAATTTGTCAAAATTAAAAATAAATTAACCATACAGTACCTGTAAAATATTTTGTCATATTGTTTAATAATTTGACATGACTAATATATTGGTTATATTTATGCAACACAGCATGAAATAGAACTTTTCTATGAATTGTGCCCGCTACAGGCAAAGAGCCTCTTTGCCTTCACTTAATACATCATATGTCATAAACAGTCTCTGTCACTCAAGGATACGATTTATAAATATGTTGTATTGGTCTAATTACTGATAATTTCAAATACTTGCCTATGGGTTCAAATGTTGCAATGTCTGCAGTAACGGCAGGAGTAACCAGGGCAGCAGTTGCTATAAAAATGAATATAAACCCTTGGATTATATGTTAGATCTGTAAATAATTTCACATACACCCTGTACATGTACATTATTGTTCCATTCTTTATGTGTGACATTATTGTAACATACCATACTAATAACCTATTTTCCGCAAGACTGTTAAATTTGCTTAGCACAGGTTGCTAGTCACATGATACAGGTCAAGCTTTGATTCAAAATGGAGCTAAATCGTGAGTGTGCCTAGTGTCATGCATTCAATTTCTGACTGAGTGATTTCTTGCATCTGTTTTGGGCCATGGCTGACTTTAATAGAATGATTGTGCCACAGCTCAGACTTTCTCCATGAATTCAGTGTTTCATTGTCCAACTATAAAAAGAATATTCTTCTTGCAATCACTAATTTAAAGCTGTGCATTATGTTGAACCTGATTTGTTAAATGTAAATGCATTAATTATTTGCTGGGTTTTAATTTTGCGATTTTTTGCGTATGTGTAAAATCTGCTAAATTAAATCTATGTGAACATGTAAAATAACAATAAAACTCAGTGTTTCCTTGACAAATTCAAGAAACATAGTGCATATATTCAAACATCAAAATAGTGAAATTAAATGACAGTGAAAATAAATGGTTTTACAGTACACCACGACCCTAGAAACAATGTCGCTACAAGTCTTAGAAAACTTGGTTGTTATTTTATACTGGTTACTCCAGTGATTTAATGTTCCGGAATTCGGTTTGTTTGATGTTTTCAACTATTCTGTGTTAGCACTCTGCATTAGCCACCTTAGCATACCATATGGAGCTATGCATATACGTATATACATATACATATATGTAGCACAACAGGATCTGAAAAATAGGGCACTGAAGGCATGTTTCAAAATTAAACAGCTACTATATTCAGAAACATTAATCCCAATTAAAATATACTTAAAAATGTTTGACTCAATGATCAAACCAATTCTTTTATACTGTTGTGAAATTTGGGCGGGTGACATTGTGAATAATAAAAAATACTTTATGAATCTCATGTCACCCATGGAAAAAATGCACATTAAATATTGCAAATTCCTACTCAAGGTCAATAGTAGAGCAACAAACATTGCATGCTTAATTGAATTAGGGAGATACCCATTAATTATCACTGGCATCAAACAAATGTTAAAATATTGGCTTAGAATTAAAAAAATGCCTGATAATACACTAATATATGATGCGTACAAGCTTGGCATCGCTCTAGACAATTCTGGCACTCAAAACTGGGTATCCAGCATAAAAAATTGCCTAGAGTATACAAGCATGGAAAGTGCATGGAGTGATAAAAACATAGAAGATAACTTTATTGAACAAATAACTGACAAACTAATAACCAAATTTAAAGTACATGCCAGGAACACTCTAAACAACGATAATAAAGGCATCAACCACAAAAATAAACTTCGTACCTATAGGCAGCTAAAAAAGGACTGTAGGCATCACAAGCTCCCACAGGTATTACAGTCTCTTACGCCACCAACTAGAAACGCGTACTCTGGTTATATCATATATTTATTCCATATGGTCAATCGTTACGGAATCAGAACAAGTTAGTACATCTCCAGAATATGGTTCTAAAATATACAAAACAAAATAGGGAAACTAATATTCGAAGTAAATCAAACAATTCTTATCATAAAATGTACAGTAAATTAAATATACATTTCTCTTAAAATGTGCAGAAAGTCGAGCGATACAACCAATAAATATACGGCAAATAAAATATGTAACAATAAATAACAATGCTAACTGAAATATTTGTCAACCATTTTGACGAGCCAAAGCACACATTGCATACCATGTGCTTTATTAAACGTGCAGCTGATCACATGCACGCAATGTGTTTGGGCACAAAAAATGGGTGGCAAATAGTATAAATAACAAAACAATTTTCAAGAAATAAGTCTTAACGAATACTAACGAATACTAACATTTACAGACTTGCAATAATAACCCAAAGTAAGAGTGATAAAATCGAGTTCATACGAGTACTCAAACTTGTAACAAATCACTGCCAATAATTTCATGCTGATGAAGCCAACAATGAAAAGAAAACCTTCCTTACCTCGTTTAGTGG